GCACGTCTAATACCTTGACATTACTGTTTTTGTTCAGGGTTCGAACAAGAAAAACTGAGGTTGTACAAAGAATGTTTCAACATGTCAGCAGTACTAATGCTATACTACTGGCCTATTGGGGAGGACTCGTAGCTTATCTTTTTCACTCATAAAACCTGGTGACCAGAGCATTCGATAAAAGATTTTAACCTTACTGTGCAAGATGCTGTTGCCTCCAAAGATAGGATTGCCTGTGGAGGTAACAGTGCTGCTGAAGTCAAAACTGCCTACAGCAAGTGCACTTCAAGCCAAAGGAAACACAATTGCATTTGCATTTGTTTTGCATCCTTATTATCTATGGAATGGGGGAATGGAGGTAAATGAGTCAGTAAGCACTGCTCCTTAGAGCATTTATCCTGGAATTGAAAGCAATCCAAACTAGTGAGGTCAAAGCTGTCTTTGATGGCTGAAAAGTGCAATAAGTTTAATCAGCCGCAACCAGCACAATACTACCTGAGAATTGGACAAATTGCAATTGTGAAGATTGTTCATGTAGCAAATGGAAACAAAACCACACAAGTGGAGAAGAAAATGCTCTTTTGAGTTGCCGAATAGATGCATGAGAATGTGGGTCCCTATATTTTTCTTCTCTTTCCACTGAAGTTGGATAGTTGCCTCCACATAAGTACCCTTTCCTTTCCTCTTTCCCCTCCCCCGTCACCCCTATCAGTGTAGGTTGAGTTATGGTACCAGGGAATTGAAATTGCAATCATGTCATGTTGTTCCACAAATTCAGAGTGTATAGATTGACTACAATAAAACCAATGACAGTTTCAATTCTTCTTGCATGATAAGAAGAGTAAATTGTAATAATAAATTGTAATAGATTATATTCACTGATCGGTAAGTCAGTAATGAGAAGGCACAATTTTAAGATAATATTAAAAGGAATTAAAGGGTTGATTATTGGATGGTTGGAATTTGTAAATTCTGTGCAAAGACTGTTGTTGAGGCAAAGCCCATCAATTCTTTCCAAATAGAGTTAGATGTGTGAAAAAGAGGACTATTAAAGGGTATGGCATTCGAGTGGGTGACTCGTGTGGATAAATATACCAGCAAACATGATGAGCTCAATGTCCCGTTTCCACTGTGATAACATCCAATGGATGGCAACTTCCGAAAGTGGTGCTGTTTTGAATGACAAAAAAACAAACTGATCAGTGTTTTTTAATCAGTTGCTCCACTCCCAAGGAATCATTCAGAGAACAAATTCTGACTTCTATGACTTCAAACGTAAGACCTGGTTAATATACAAAAAATTCTCATTTGATTTTCTTCCATGAAGGCTGTCCCGAAGGCACGGCTCTTGCAGAGGTGGGGTTCCACTGATACTAATGCCTTACAAGTGGCTGCTTTCTCACATGGACAATGAGCATGGCACCTTTTTCAACCACAGAGGGAACCATAGTTGTCTTTTCTCCTTTCTTTACCTGATATCCAGACTCAAGCGAGTCACCAATGAGGGTCACTAGATAGCAATCAGGAGTTAGGAATTCTTTCTGGCTACCCTCATTCCTCCTTATTCCTCTTTGGCAATGCTGAGGCCAATTGAAGTACCTCAACCACTGATCTAGCTGTGATAAGTCCCATGTTTGACTGCCTTGTAAGACTCACTATGTAGGATCGACCATACATGGATGATCCACCATATTTTATTTTCCTCAAATTTTTTTATCCCTTTCTTCAAGGTTCTAACTTCTATTTCGAAGCATTGAATAGAAAAGAGGCTCAGAAATTAATCCTCCCTCTCCCAGAGGCTCTGAAGATAATTAGAGTTAACCATCACTAATCTGCTGAGGTTAGCTAACAACAAAACTACATTTGTATAGCACATTTCACATCGAGAGGACATCCCAAGCTAAGTCATCACTGGGCTTGATGGTAGCATCTATATTTGGGGCATCAAATACTTGTTTGTTCACAACTAAACTTTCTTGCACAGTGGTCACTAAGATAGCTCTTGGAAAACAGTTCCAGGAGGTGAAGATGAACTAAAGCTTGCTTATTTTTGTAATGTTCTTGACAGACTGTTGCTGAATTGCTCTACTCTCTGTTTATATCCGGGAAATCTGGATCCGGTTACTTATATCAGTGTAGCCAGCTGAGTGAGCTGCTCTTCTCTTTTCCCATGTTCAGAAAATTTGATTCCAAGATTTATGGATTTGGCTACTTGTGTCATTTCACCCAAATGTATTTGAGGTCCATTTGATCTGATGATCTTATGTTGTTTTTCAAAGTCCAATCATGTAACAGATAAGTGAGAGTTTTGACAACTGTGCTACCATAGTGAAGTATATAAATAGGCGAGAACTCACTTCCACCTTCTTTGTCTTCATACCATGCTAATGCAGCATTGGTGTTCACAAAACCCTACTGCTCCTTCCTTCTAAGACCTCACTGCCCTTTTGCTCAGCAACTTGCCGGAATGCAGAATTTCATAATGATTGTCTCAAGTGATGTAGACTCCAGACACATCAAATGCAAGTATTGCTATTGTTGTTGTCATTATTATTTGTGGACCCTTCCTATAGAGACAACCCAGTTTGACCATAGTTGCAGTAGAAGATTCAACCTCCCCTAAAAAAGGTATGAGATAATACGATTCCAATTAATAATACATTATGGGCTGCCAGCAGAGGTAACTTTGCAGTGGTACCCATACTTGTAACATAAGAGTGTTATAAATCATGACAGACTGGAGAATGAGCCTGGAACAATCTGGGTCATTCTGGTTTAGTTTCACTCCAGACAGTGATTTTATCAAATGGGCCATTAGACTTTCCTCCACAAATATAAAATACAAAGGTGAAAAGCTTAAAGTATCTTATAAGTAAACATTGCAATTATTGCACTCCACAATTCATATATGTTTTATGATTTGTATCCAATTCAGTAGAGCCTTGTTATAACGTGGTAGTTTGGATCCCAACCATTACTATTTTGTTTTTTGTCAGCCAAGTGTCTGACACATGGAAACCCATCACCATGTTCAAGAGTATCCAAATCAGACAGAGATACAACTATGTATGCCATCTACACATGGAAATGCTTGTGTATCTGGAACGAAATGCACAGGCTCTCCTTGGAGGAGTACATCTGCTTAAATAATTCTGCAGAGTATTAGAGGCAGAATAGCGAGAGCCAAGCCTTAGGTACCACAGAATGTGGCTTGGGGTACTGCTGGAACTTAACTGGCTAAATCTGCAAAGCTTGCCAGTGAGAGCACTGTCTGGCAAGCTTTCTGTTGCTTGTCTAGGCCCACTCTACCAGTTAGGGCTTTAACGGGAGGTGAATAGGAAGAATCTCTGCCTCACTGGCGAGTTTGTCATCAGCAATGTCATGGAGTACTATGAACCTGCTTGGCTCAGAAACTGAATGAAACCCCGACAGAGTGTTCGCTTGATTCTGAGTTATTTAAATGGGTAATTTTTTGAATCAATAGGAGTTTGGGCACTGGATTCAAATCTGAATTCTATTCAATTCATCCAAATACTAAATAAATTGAGCATACAATCTCCACCTGCTCCACCTATTTATATGACTCTGTAATTCAGTTCTGTGACATTGATGTGCTGTTATTCCATGAAATGGGAACAGTCTTTTATACTGTATACAGTCATTATGGATTTTTGTCTACCTGTGCTTAACACTCTCTGGATTTAGACAAGCAGGGTGCAGTCCTCCAGGGGGAGAGTGCACATTCCATTTCCAGACACAGTATGCCATCCCAGTATGAGAACTTTGGGATTCTCAAGCAGTTAATCCAAGTACAGAGCCTTGGCGTCTTGTTTGACCCTCAGTTGTCTTTAATACCCCACATCCATGCCATGACCAGTGGCATATAACTCTGTCTGGTTTGGATATTTTTGAGGATGGTGATGGGTTTATGCATTTGTCAGATACCTGGCTGGCCAAAACAATCCTTCCTGTTAACAGTTGAAATGCAAGTTCAAGCTGATTAAGTAACTGGATAAGTATGTTAAGAAAATGGTGCTGTCAGATTATTTTCTAAAATAAGAATCTGAGTTAACAATTTCCCAGTAGGTATACTACTGTGCCCCGTCTTATCTTTGAGACAGAGATTATGGATAATTCTTGAAGTGGCCCAGATCAGCCACAGTCTGTTTCCCATTTCTGTAGTCCTTTCACAGCAACAAATTACATTTGTGTAGCACTTTTCACATCAGGAGGATAGTCATCGTGGAGGGCTTTGAAAGCAAGGATAAGGATTTTGAACTGTATCCTCTGAGAGATGGGGAGTCAGTGGAGTTGGGCGAGGGTGAGTATGATGGGGTCATGGAGCCTGGTGAGGGAGAGGACACAACCTGCAGAGGCTAATATGCATCTTGTGGAGGGAAGAGTTTGGAAGACCAACAACCAGAGAGTTAGCATAATCGAGCCTGGATGTAATGAATGTGTGAATGAGGGTCTTGGCAGCCTGAGTGAAGAGGCAGTGGTGGAGCCGGGCGATGTTATGGAGGTGGGGGAAGGCAGAACTGGTCATGGCATGGATGTGGAGTATTAAAGACAGCTGAGGGTCAAACAAGACGCCAAGGTTCTGTAGTGGGATTAACTGCTTGAGAATCCCAAAGTTCTCACACTGGGATGTGTATAAAACATGGTGGCATTGCAGTGACGTAATGATTTCTTTACACGTTTGCAAGTGCAACTATACCCCAGCAACAATTATTTCGCCCACATAATACACGGTCAATCCACTTTACAATATATTCTGTGAAGTGCTATGAGATATCTCAACAACATGATAAGGCACTTATGAAATGCAAGTATTATTAACGAGGAGAGGGGAGNAAAAAGTGGTATGTCTTTTTTAAAAGAAAATTCCTATCCTTTAAGGATTTTGTTTCCATTGAATGAAGTTTTGTAAAAAAATGTTGTGAAGCACAGTTTTTGCCAAATCTGATTCCATTGTAAATGTAAAGGCTTAATTATCTCCACAGGCTGCTGAAGGTGTCACCTTCATTGGACCTGACACACATGCTCTTCAGACCATGGGAGACAAGATTGAAAGCAAATTAATAGCCAAGAATGCTAAGGTTAACATTATCCCTGGCTTTGATGGAATGGTCAAGGTGAGAAAACTGGAGTTTGTTGGATTGGTTTGGAATTGATATAGATCCATGCCACTTAATTGTTAATGTAAAGTGTACTTTTTAAGGCATTCATAAAACATGTTGTCTGGGAAACATACAGAAAATGGTGTATTTTATATTTCTGAAAAATAATGTATCACACAACCTGTGTAATAAAATATAATTGTGAAGAATGAATTTGTTTCTGAAGTTCAACCATGTATTTGGTATAAATTAGTGTAAATGCAGCAAATTTTCAACTACATTGTGTTATGCAAAATGCTAAGTCTGGTACAAAAGGATTTATTTTTGTTCAATATTTTTTTGATTGTAAAATGTAATCTCGTCTGAACATTATCTTAAACTGGAGCTGCACATCAACAAGTTCCTGGCATTCAGGATTTAAGATTCTGCAGCTGAATAAGTAACAACATGTTTAGCAGAATGTAAATGAAAGGTACAATTTACAGCGGCAAAGACAATTCAAAGTGTTTCCACTTAACTATAAATGGTGGAGCACCATCAGCCCTTACTCTTCATGCATTGAGTTCAAGAGGCTCTAATTGTCTGCGTTTGACTGGTTTAACACTTCCTGACAGAGTGGCTATTAAGGGGAACTATTCTCGCATAACTGTCAGCGAGTGGAACAAAGACACTTGAAACTCAATGTGTGGAAGATATTGACATACCTAGATTACTCTTTTTATTCCTTTGGATTCCTTCTACTAAAATTATGGAAGGTATTTCCCTCTGTACACCCAAGAAAGCTGTAGCTTGGTAGTTAAACTATAAGGTTTTTTTTGTTTTTGTGTTTTACACAAAAATGATTGTTCTTTGGAAAAATACCATTAACAGTCAAGCCTATTACAAAAAAAGAAAGGGAGAGAGACTTAAAACAGATACTGCTTTCAGGTTTGCTTTGAACTTAACAAGCACTGATTTGTGGAGCAGACAAGCTAATGAAAGGAAATTAAATTTTCTGCCAACTTCCCTACCCCCACCCAGCTTGTTTGCTGTTCATATTAATGTGCTTTGGTGAAAAAAATGTTTTTTTAAAAAAAACTTCTGTTGCTGTTCTCAATTAAGTGAGCAATATTCTCTTTCTAACTGGATGGTAGATATTGACCAGTGACAAAACTGCCCTTTATTGTCTATTTTTCAAAAAGTATTGTGCTTGAAGCTTTAAAAATGATCGGGTTTCATTTTAATGTTCATAAGTCAGCCCCTGTAGTTTTAGCCACATCTAGCAGTCGGTGGTTTCCAGACATTACTCCTTTCCATAATCCTTTCCAACTTTTTGCGACTCAAGTGCTTTTTTTTCCCTAATGAAAACAAATCCCAGAAAATATGATTTCCTCTTGGTTTATATGAAACCAAGCTAATTAAAACAAAAGCAAACCATTGCTAGAATTTCCTTTTTATATATATATATATATATATATATAAAACGCTCGAGCATATGAAACTGGACCTGTGCCTCTTTCTTGGCTGTTTTCTCTGATTATCGAGATTAAAAAGCAGAGAAAAAAAATCAAGTTTAGCGCTTCCACAAACCTTTAAAATATTTATTTAGTGATATTTATATAGCCCTTGCAAAACTTTAGTTTTATTTAATTGTAGTGGAAATAATGGTTTTGTACAGGACAGAAAGCTGAATATGTTTGCTGGAAGGCTGACTGTTATCGACTCCGAAAGAACTTTTCTCGCATTTGTTAGTCCTACCAATGGAGATCTTGGGAACCCTGGAAACATGCAAAGCAATTATAACTGTAGACAGTCCACTCCCCCTACTGTCAATTATTGGAACAGCACATAACATGGAATGGTTGAAGATGGCAAAAACACATTCTGGTGGCAGAAATTTTGCAAAGGCGGATTTACAATTCACAACTGACTGAACACCATTAAAACTTGTCTTTTTATTCCAGCTGCAGAAGGTGTTTGATAACATTCCTAAAGGTTTCTGTCAAGTGATTACTTCCCCCTGTATGCTTTCTAACATTGAAGGGTATGGAATAGTAATAACATGAAAACTATCAGGAGAGATTTTATGGGAGAAAATCTATTGAAATTTTAAAATGTATGGGAATAGTGTGCTATCAAAATGGGGACAGTCAAGGTTAAATGCTTTCAATGAAAATAGTAGGTTCCCTCCAAAAGATTGAGACTTGGCAGACCTGCAGGAAACTTTTACTCGTCCACTTATGGTATTAATTTTGTGTTAATCTGAATAAGAAGGAGTAGGTGGGTTGTAAACTCAACATAAGGTCTATCCAAGGAGACAGCATTGCAATATACAGCTGCCCTGAGGAGCAAGAACAGTGGCTGATGGGATTAATGTTTGGTCTCATTTCCTGTCTTTACAGGATGCACATGAAGCTGTCAGAATTGCCAGGGAAATTGGTAAGGCTTTAATTAAGCTATTGTGTTGCTGTATCTTTATGTAAATGTGTAAAATTGTGTTGCTGTCTACAATCTACATTTTTTAGTCATGGATAATGAGGAGTAATATAAAATGTAAATTTTGTTTTGTAAAATCTTTGTTCATTTAAGAGATACATTATTTGCAACATAAGTTCCGTAATTGCTTCATATAAAGATATTATTTAATTGCATTATTTTATGTTCCCTGCACATTTTTATTTTTCCTCTTATGTTCCTGCTCTTCTCCAGTTCCCCATTATACATAATTTCCTGTGCTGACAGGGAGGGCAGACTGCTTCCTGGTAGTTCCACTAGTTCTGCTTTTATCTGCCTACTTTTCTTTCCCCTCCCGACCTCCCCCTAAAGATTCTGATTCGTACCGGCATGGTTCTTTGGATGCTGGCTCCCCTCCAGTATTCTACCCAAATAGCTGTTCTTTATGTGTGAGCCTCAAGAGTGAGGCAGGCTATTAGACCATTGAGGTATTATCCCAACTTAGTCTGATCCTGTTTTCACTCAATGTCCATGCATCCATTTTCCAGCAGGGAGTAACTGGATAACAGTCAGGAGCGGGAAGCTGGGCTGATTTTCCCTTTTTTACTCCCTCCTTCCACGCCCAAGGGCACCAATTGTAGCACCCCAACTGCTGCCCAACTAAGCTGAGCTAACTCAACACAGACCAGGAATTGAAACGGACTTCCTGTGGCTTGCTTTACCCAGTAGTTCATTGGGAGAAATAATTCAATACTATTTTGTAAATATTTTTTGGGGGTCATCCTGGTGTCTGACACATCAAAAAAAATGTGCAAGAGCTGGCCAGTGAAATTGTCCAGCCGCTGCTTGTTGCCTGCCTAGATAATCCTTAGGATGCCATGTGGAAAAAATTGAGCAGTCTCTAGTTCAGTGTTTTAGTACATGCATGCACTGAGTAATATGTAGTTTTGCTTCTTAAGTTTTGCTTGCTAATTCAAGTTCATGCCAAATTGAATGTTCTCAGCTGGGATAGGCCTAATAACATAAGTATTAGAAATTGGATCTGAAGTTCATTACAATGCACAGGGAATTTTAAAAATTGATTATAAACCCATAAAAAAGAATCTAATATTTGAACTTTTCTGTCTGGAGACTTGGCTATGTATCCTTTTTATGGGTAATTATTTTGGACAGAAAATGTCATAGCAGTTTAAAAAATAAACTAAATGATATGTGTAATTTTAAATGAAAGCTATGTTTAAGAAGCTGGGTTGAGGGGGAAGTAAGTGATCTGCAAACAGGACTACAGTAGACTGAATGTATTTGTATATGCCTTAAGTGTGAAGAGATCTACTTTTAAAAGTGGGAATCAAATTTTGGAACATATTCATGGTCCCCAGTCTGCAATAAAATTCAGAAGGTCCTCATGGAAACTAACAGGATATATTAGATAAACGCACTCATGGTATATCTGATACAAAGAATACCAATTCAAATTTAACTTTAAAGTGGATTTCAGTATGCCAGTTGTTGTCTACAGTGTTATTGGACATATGGTCAGCTGTCGTGTTCACATGACCAAATGATCAAAGTCAGAACTTCTGTCTAATTGTCCCCTGCTGCTAGGCTACCCCGTCATGATCAAGGCCTCAGCAGGTGGTGGTGGGAAAGGCATGAGAATAGCCTGGAATGATGAAGAGACCAGGTGAGGCCCTGCCCAGAAACTAACCTTGCAAAATCAGTACAATTACAAAAGTCCCATTACGCTACCATACTTTGACATTGGAGAAGTATTAAAAATGAAACTATTTGAAATCAGATATTTTTCACCTTTTCACACTGCCGTTGAGATTTTCTTGGAGTGAGGAGAGATGCTGAGGTGATCGACGGAGCCAGACGACTGGTGTAAACGGAGCACTGCAGGCACATTGTTTTTGTTTACTTTAACACAGTGTTGTGAAAGCAAGCAGCTAGTGATGCTTCATGCGTTTGTGAAACTCACTGGAATGCCATTTACTCCTCCCTGTCACTGTTTACCGAGAGCTGCCTCGAGCCAGATGCTCCATTTGCCATACCTGCATTGTCACTGCCTCTCAGATCTCTTTTCAGTAACCAGTGTGAAAAGTAGGAGGAGGCAACAGGTGGGGTTCATTGCATCCATTATTTAATGTTTGTGACAAACTAATAGAGGCTAGACTTAATTAGGTTAACTGAATTGTAAAGTGGTTTTAAAGGTTTTGAAGAATGCTTGAGCTTTCAAAATGAAAAACATGGGATGTTTCTAATTTGCCTCGGGTTCTTGGATAATGGCACAAAAGTGAAGGTGTCAATTGGACACCATTCTCCTCGCTGCCTGCTCCTTTTAGGTTTTAGCCGTGGCAAGTTCAGCACAGGATTGCTTTTGGGTGGATCCTGCACGTGCTCGAAAATGTTGACAACAACAACAAAATTACATTTGTATAGTGCCTTTCACATCGGGAGGATATCCCAAGGTGCTGGACAATCAGTGTTTTTTTGACTCTGTACATATTACTTAACAAAGTAATATGTTAAGTTACATCATCATCACACATAATTTCATACATCGTGACTATTGGCCGAGAGAAAGGAGGAGGCAAGCATAGGTGCTGCTGCCAGAGTCAAATTTTGATTCCTCCACAGAGCACCGTGCTAAAGACCTCTGACAGCAGGTACGGCACCTTGTTTGCTTTGGCAGGCTGCTGGGAACTTTACACAGCAGAAATGTGTAGCAACTTCTTTGCCAAACTGATGTTGCATTTGGTTGCAGGAGCAGTCACTGCACCATTTGCTGTAGAAATGGCTCTGTTTATATTGAATCTGTGTCTGCGACAACCAGATCCACTTCAAAACAACTGCACGTATGCAATTTGAATACCCTAAACATTAACTGTTTCCCAGGGCTGTTATCTTCCTTAATGGCTGGGGAGGCTCTGTTCAAGTCAGTGCTGGCAAATCACTTTGCTGCCCAGTATGGACAAGCGTGAATGGTTCAGCTATTCACCTTGCCGATAGCTACAAACTCATGGCAGCCTCTGCCTCCAACAGCAAGGCACAAGTGGCACCTCGCTTACATTGCTGGTTTTGTCCTGACTTAAAGTTGGTGTTGCTGGCAAACCAGCAGCATAAATGTGCTATAAACTGAAGCCAAAATGAGGAAGGATTGTGTTGATATGTGAATTGAGTGAATTTATCTTTTCCAAGTGCCATACATATTATATTTAGTGAATTCATACTGAAAGCTCTAGCAAACGTGTATTGCTTTTGAGAATGGTTTCCTGTCACAATTTTTCTGAAACAGTAGATATGTGAAAGCATTTTGAATAGTTTCTAAAGGAAATCACCTCAAGGAGTTAGTCTCACAGCAAAAGTAATAATTGTAGTACAACTGTAATCAGACATCTTCATACTTTCTCATTAAGACACATTTCCTTTTGAATTTTATCTCCTGCTCCAAGATGGCAGGTCTCAATTTCTTCCTTTCTCATCTAAAAGTAATGATCTAATTTGGGGCATGGGGTCATGGGGCTTCAGCCATGGATTTAAGAGCATACCTTGAACCGTGTCACCTCACAGTTTTACGTTAAAACGTTTAACAACAACAATGACCCAAGGCGCTGGACAGTGTACAGCATTTCATACCCGAGCTGGGGTCGGGGGGTGGGGGGGGGGAAGGGAGGGGAGGGGAAGGTGGGTGGCCAATGACAGGGTCGTAGAGGAGGGTCTTAAGGTGGACTTGAAGGAGGCTAAGGAGGGAGTGAGGCGGAGTGATTGGGGAATGGAATTCCAGAGGTTGGGGGCAGAGTGGCTGAAGGCTCTCCCGCCAATTGATGGGGCGGGTGGGTCGGGGGACATGAAGCAGGTCAGAGCCAGCTGAGCAGAGGGAGCGGGCGGGTTGGTAGGGGGTTAGGAGGTCGCAGAGGTAGGGTGGGGCAAGGCCATGGAGGGCTTTGTAGGGGAAACATATGTTTAAACATATCTGAAACAGATCCTTTTTATTCTAACAGACCAAGTTCAGGATCCTCACCCTCAATTCAAATCGCTTCATGCCATAGCATATCCCTACCTTTCTGATCTGCTCATATTCTACTTGTCTGCCTGCCCTGATGCTAAGCTAACACAGGCCTACAGCAAGTTCGCCCAACTTCTCCCACGCTGCCATCGATAGCCAAACCTTCAATCACTACACCCCTAACTTCTGGAACTCTCTGTCTTGTTTCCTCTTTATTTGTTGGTTAACACGATAACCAATTTATGCACAAAATAGCAATGAAATGAATTACACCAATTTATTTGGGAGACTGTTAGCTAGGACACTGGAAGAAATTCATTTCTATTTTCGAGTTGTGTCAAGGGATCTTTTGTTGTCCACCTGAATAGGGAGACAAAACGGTTGACCTTTTCATTCAAAGATTGGCACCTGTGATTGCACAGCGAACCTCTAGTACAGAACTCAAAGTCCCAACATGGGGCTTGAACCCACAACCTTGCAACACATGAGCCAGGCTGAAACAACAAAACACCCAAGGTATACAAATTGTTGAATGAGACAGAGAAGGTAAACTCAGAACTTAACTGTAAGAGGTAACACCTGCTTGTTTCATGAGCTATTTGGAAGGAGTGGGCATTTTGAGAGTTGTAATTGGATCATAAGTCATCACAATTTGTTGATGAGTTGAATGTGGAACTTATGCTATTTGTAGATCACGAACCCTCTGATCAGTTCTTGCCTTGTAGTGCATCTCTTTTATCTCTTTGCTTATAGTCCTATAAGTTTTCTGGTACTTCCACCTAAAGTAGTCAAACTTCTTGTGCGAGTCAAAATGTTGGCTTTCATCTTAGTAGGTAATTAAAAGCTAAGATGGAACCAATGTCTGGATCTTGAGGATACATCTTGGTACCTTTTCTTTAATAACCAGATTAATTGGCACTGTGGTATTTCAGCTGTATGCAAATTGTTCTTGATTTCACAAGATCTTTCCATCCATCAAGGGCTGCTTTTGAGCAAGAATTGTGGGAACAGAGCAAATATTCAAAACCTTTCTAGATTATGTTTTGAACATACTTGTGCATTAAGATATTCTTTAAGCAACTGAATTAGATTATTTTATAAATTATATGTATTATTCCAGCAGTATGGAATATCACTAAATACAGTTCCAGTGATTAATAGTGAAGGCATTCCTATGATCATTTGTCTTCCTGTGTAGTATGCTGAAGTACTAGAGACAAAAATTAAGTAAAAACAATGATGTATTGCCCATCGGTCCAAAATCCTATCAGTCCATAAGGTGTTGCCCATCCATCTTGGCTGTAATTTCATTTTGTAGTTCATTTTGTAGTTAACTTGACTATTAACTTGAACTTTGTTTAACGGTTAATGTTATTTGAATTGCTTGAGATTACTGCCTTATAAACACTCTTGGGTGTCCATTATTCTCTGTGTATTCACTCCAGTGTATTCATTATCTTGTATGTAAAAACATGTGGGTTTATGGTTGGTGAGGGGCAGCACTGATTTAAGCATGTGGTGAAGCTCTGTCTTCTATCCAACAGAACCTATGCTATAATCATTAATAGATTGACATAAAATGGTTGCTTTACGATAACATTTGATATTGCTTTGATATTTAAATTACCTTCTAAGAGTTCTGGATTCTACAGAGAATTAGTTCCTGCTAGACCACCAATTGAAAGACTACCAATTTTAATCATTTATATACTTAAGATTAATGCTCTAAATTAAAAGTAAAATACATGTTGAGAACTGTAGAGCATTTTATAATTTGTAATATTATTGGAATGAAGTAAGATTGAGGATTTTAAAATAAATTACAAATCGTTTGAGTTTGACTCATGACTAGTGAATTTGTTCAATGTGTAGCTGAACCATACGGACTGGGAAAATATGAGATTCGATTTTCTTCCTTTCCTATATACTGAGTTAGCATATTAATGGGTAACTGTGGGGACTCTATAGTTGACTTAGTCTTCCAATTGGTGGTTTAGCAGGAACTAACAATTTTTCGGCTTGCGTTGCACCACCATTCTAGTACGGAGCCACCCCCACCCACAGTTGCGTTGGGTAAGGAGCGTGAGAGGTCCAGGGCCAGAAACTTTGTTTTTGATTACCAGGTAAGTGACAAAATCAGCCCAGCATCCCCCATTCTTGAACACTATTCAGAGCTGTAAAGTGTGTGGGTGTAGATGTTGCATAGGACAGGATCAGCAAATGGGTACATAATCAGCAGACAAACTCACTATCAAAGCTCTGAATAATCACCTGGGCCAAAAGAAAAGTGGCCACAATTTTTCAGCGGAACCCGCTATAAGTGGAGTCCTGTGGCTCAGTGGTTAGAGCGCTCGCCTCACAAGTGAGAGACCTTGGTTCGATTCCCTGCAGGGTGAAATGTTGGGCAAGATTCCTTGCTCCACACAAATCTGTTTACCTAGCAGTAAGTAGGAACCCAGTTACTAGTTGATTGGTAAATCACTTTTCCGGGGGTAATAATTCCTTCAAAAAGAATAACAATTATGAATTGATCACTTCAATCCACGACTGTTTGTGGGACACTGCTGTGTGCAATTGGCTGCTGCCTTTCACCCACAAAATATTCAGTCAATTCACTTTACAGTATATTCTGTCAAGAGCTTTGAGACGTCTCGAAGATGTGATAAGGCCTATAT